TCCTCCTAGGTCTTGTGTTTTTGTGATTGATTTTGACAACATGCCTATGTGCTTCTAGTGGATGCTGTGTGTGTGTGTGTGTGTGTGTGTGTCTATGTGTCTGGGGGGGGGGGTGTATGTGTGTGTCTGTGTGTGTCTGTGTATGTGTGTTGATCCTGGGGCTTGGAGTCAAGACCTGAGTTTTTATGCTCAAGACTAGCTCTTTATGCTCAAGATTTGCATCACAGCTCTACTTTGGACACTAGTGGATACTTTTAAGATTTCTATTTTTCTTTCTGGTTGTTTTCCTGAAACTTTATGAAGATGTTCATAGATATGAATTTTGGTTACTAACCTGGTTTGATCATTTACCCAAATTACTCACATTGTGGTTTGTGTGGCATTTGATAATTCCTTCCATAACGAAGATAACAGATTTGGGGGCCAGCAACTGACAAATCTATGAAAAATTATTGTTATATAAAGGAAGTTTCAAATGGCTGAGAGGGCCTATATTAGGTTAATACTTAACACAAAAAAAGAGGTGATAGTTAGGCATAGTGACTTACCCAACTACTTAGGAGGCAGAGATTGAGGCCAGCCAGGGGGAAATGTTAGCAAAATCCATATCTCAACAAGCAAATCTAGCATGGTAGTAAATGTCTGAGGTCTTAACTATGAAGGAGGCATAGGGAGGAGAATTATGTCCAAGATCTGTCAACAGACAAAAACCAGAAAGAATACCTGGAAAAATAAATCCAAACAAAGGCTAGAGACATGATTCCAATGATAAAGCATCTGCCTAGCAAGTGTGAGGCCCTTAGTTCAAACTCCAGTACTACCAAAAAATAAAAATAAAAAGGTGTGGACGAAAAAAATGACTTAATTTTAAAATGTATTTATAACAACAAATGGAGAACTCCAACAGCAGCAGTAGAGAGGCTTTTAAAAGGTCTTTTTAAAAAAGGAAATTAAAAAAAAAGAAGAAAAAAATGATAGGCTAAAGAATATCTGTAAAGCTCTAAAGGGGAAGATAAATGTAGACTAAACTCAACCTATACCTCCATATTGTAGTGTTTAGGAATAAATAAATAAAATAAATAAATAATGAAATTATAAATAAATAAAGTAACACATTACTATTTATGGATTTTCTTCTGAGAAGGACAGTTAGGATTTTTACAGAAAACTCTGGCCAAAGGCTACCAGCAATCCAGTATCACCAGGGCACCAGCGTCTCATATTGTAAGTGCTCCTACTTCTCCAGGTCATCTTAGGATGGGGGACCAGATGGGAGGCTTACCAGTCCCACTAATGCAAGTAACAAAGCCACTGTATACTGAGCCCTCTGAAAGCACAAACCAAAAGAAACCTTGCCTCTCTTAAAGTCCACTCTGTTAGGTATTCGGTCACAGTGATAAAAGAAGTAATTAATATACCTCTACACTTCAGAAAGCTTTCTCAATTACTATTCCACGTGACACAATAATCTTATTAGTAAAAGCAAGTCCTACTTTTTTTGGATCAAAACCTCACAGGACATACATGTGGGCCTTGAATGAGTATGTTCTAAAGAATCGGTCACAGTGATAAAAGAAGTAATTAATATACCTCTACACTTCAGAAAGCTTTCTCAATTACTATTCCACGTGACACAATAATCTTATTAGTAAAAGCAAGTCCTACTTTTTTTGGATCAAAACCTCACAGGACATACATGTGGGCCTTGAATGAGTATGTTCTAAAGAATTAATCCATTCTTGCCTTATACATCCTATAGCATTTAATAAATAATCTAAAACAATTAAAGACTCATGGCATCATATCACATCCTGTCTACCTCATTTGTACAATCATTCAACATTTCTAAGCCCCTGTGATGTATAGATGAGTCACTTTTATCTAAAGGAACATATCTGTAATCCTTAGAGAACTTCCTAGCATGCTATTTATATTTTTTCATGGGATTAATAAGGCAAATAGTCACCTCTGTAGTTTAAAGATAAAGAAACTATAAGAAAAGCAATTTGACTGGCTGGCTGAAGATCAATGAATGAACTTTAAAAAATTAAGAGGTGACAAATTTTTCCAGGCCCATCATTTCCTTAAAAATAACATATTATCATTATTCTAGATGCATGAATAATATATAGATATGTAAATGTGATATATAGACCTTTATATAATATATATGTATGCATATATATTTATATATAGCTATATTCACATTTTCTTCACCTATTTATTCACGGAAAGGATTTTGGCTATTTCTATAACTTGGCTATCACAAATAGTTCAGCAATGAGCAAGTGTCTTCACTTGAATCCTAACTTGTAATCTTTTGGATCCATGCACAACGGTGGTATCAGTGGATCATAGGGTAGTTCTATGTTTAGTTTTTTGAGGAATCTACAAACTGCTTTCCACAATGATTACACCCGTTTACATTCCCAAAAAGAGTGTAATAGAGTTTATGCAAGATCATATGATAAACACACAAACATGATAACAAAAGTATGTATATACAGGAGAGGATTCTAATAGTGGAACTCCTTTGAAAGACCACCTTACAGTTTAACAAAATGAAAACCATGGAGCTGGAAGATGTTTTATCAAAAGGAATGAGGTCAAGGGTAGAGAGTAAAGATAAATAGAGAGAAAAAGTGGGCAAATGCAATCATAATATTCAATGTATGTATGTAAAAATGGAACCAGCTAAATTGAGAGGATGGGTAGGGTTGGGAAAGATGGGGAAGAGTAATAAAAGGTGTAACATTGATCAAGATGTATTACATTCACAAACTGACATGTTAAGTTGAAACCTCTTTGTACAGCTACTTAAAGACAATTTTTAAAAAGAAGAGACAAAGGCATTTTAAAAAGGAAGGAACATTTTGCTTTTATAAGATCTATTTACTTTGTACCAGCTACATACGACACATTTTACCAAGCATTTATGTAAAGCATCTCACAACAACAACAAAATTAAGCCCTGATATGAAGAACAACTAACTTCCTACTCTGAGTAGTTTATAATTACAGTGTCACAAATACCCATTCTAATATGTTTCATGTTGGCTAACAAACCTTTCCAAGAACTAAATGCTGACAGTAACTGATGATAATATTACACAATCTTAGACCAACTTAATATCAAAATTATATTTCTCCCCCCACACAGTCCCACACTGCTCAGACTTACGTTCATTGTGGCTAAGGAACTGAATTGACCCCTCTTCTATTTCCCCCCTCCCCATAATAGAGCTCCTTTATTGAATGTTAGTCGAAGACAGAGACTTTCCAAAGCAGTGTGGCCCAATTTATATCACCTGGAAGACACCTGAAACTGTGCCGGTGTCAGCAGTAAGTGCATTCTACTATAAATGTTATTTGAAGAAAAATGGTCATCTCTGCTCAGATATCTGAGCTCATAAGAAGTTTTGTAAAACACCTACTATTTTCAGAAATCCTGCTACCTTTCCTGAAGTTATTTATGACAACTCTTAGGGAAGTGAAAATGGAATTGAACAGGCATCAGGGCAGGGAGATTACTGAAAATCCACATGCTTTCTTCAAAGTTATGATATTTCTGAGTCAGAGAGATTGTCCTTTTAGAGTTCAATTTGAAAAAATTGCAAGAAGTCTATAAAGAGAATCTATACATACTGACAACAATTTTGAAGGTTCAAAATCTAATTAAATATAGCCAGGCATACAGGCTCACACATGTGATCTCAGCTACTCAGAAAATGGAAATCAGGAAAATCATGGTTCAAGAAGAGTCTGGGGGGAAAAAAACTAGTGAGATCTCATTTCAATAAAAAAAAAAATAGATTGCTGGTTCATGTCTGCCATCCCAGCCATTTGGGAGGTACAGGTAGGAGGCCAATCTTCCATATTGACCCAGGCAAAATAAAAGAAAGAAAGAAAAAAAAAGCTATATTTTAAAGAAAAATAACTAAAAGAAAGAAAGGGCTGTGTATGTGGTTCAGATTGTATTGGAGCTCCTGCTTAACCATCATGAAACTTAGTCCAAACTAGTACTACCAAAGAAACAAACAACAACCAAAACAATTAAATATATAATAGTAGTCATTCTAGATTTCTAGAAATAATCAGTTATGAAAAAGTAATAGTGTTTTAATAAAATAATTTTTGGACTCTTCAAAGAGTAACAGTTGATTTGGGGTAAGATTTAAATTAAATCATATAGAAAATTAAAAAGAAGTGTGCCCTAGAAATCTCAAGAGAAGAGGTAGAGGCCATACACACAGCATGTTCTCACAGATGTACACACGGCTGCCATACGTATGTTAAAAATTGGCAACTTAGGGCAGAAAATAGTATCATTTAAGCTGAGTATTAACCTTCAAATCCGATCTCCTCTTTCATAAAATGCTTCTTCCTGCCTTCAGCTCTTCCTGCAGAGGACGACATCATTGAAGGGAGAGTCAGTCAGACTCTCCACCAGTTGTCAGCATGAACACATTAGAGTAGCATCAACCTTGAGCCCTGCTAAGCATCCACTATGATTCAGGGACACAGTTTCATCGTTGTCACTGTGTATGAATGTTTTCTCAGCCAATTTTTAATTCTTTTTTTATTCTTTCATACATTTTTATTGTAAACATACTGTACAGAAGGGTTACAGTTTACATGAGCAAGATAATATTTCCTACTGAGCATTGTTGCCTCCTCCTTTGTTTTTCCCCTACCATCCTTTTCTTCCCACTTCCACAACTACCCCCCCCCACACACCCTCACCCTGGCCTAAGTTTGATTTGAATTTATTTGTTGCTCATTGTATTTATGTTGTTGTTGTGAACTGTCTCCATTATTCCATGTTGACATTCTTTGTCCCCAGTTGATTTTTATAAATAGTGGTAACATTTTTTCTTTTAGGGATATAATAGCCTGTTAAAAATGAAGTGCCTTTGAACTTTCTGTGTGCTTATCACAGGGCACCTAAGTTTAGGTATTTTATAAAGAAAGGAGGTATACTTAGGTCATTGTTCTGGAACCCAGACCTGTGCCAACATCTATACGGCTATCGTGAGAACTTTGTGGGGGTCAAGATGAACATAAAAGTAGAAAAGGGAAATAAGTACATGCAGACAAGCATGTATTCAAAAGAGAGGAGGAGAGACACTAGGCACACTTCATAACAACCTACTCGTGGTAGGTAATCAAGCCCTATGAGTATAAGAACTCCCTTCCCCAAACAACAACAACATTCTTCTCTCCTAAAATCCCCAACACCTTTCAAAGTCATCTCTTCCCAGCTCTACCATGATGAAGACCAAGTCTGAACATAAGTTGTGGTGGAGACAGTCTATTCAGACTGTAGCAAAGAACAAACACTTGCCCTGTTTTAATGGGAGTTTGTTGAATATTGCAAGATCTTCACACAGATAAGATACGGAGCTTTGTAGGGTATGTGTCTAGCCTCATATTCAGAAAATATTTTTCCCTGTATGGAATTTTTGCTGTGAATTCTCTTCTCAGGCTGACAAAGCCTAACTTACTGACATTATAGTTTATGCTTTCTGTGTTTTATTCAAAACAATATTGTTAAACCTAAAGACACCAGGACTTTCTTCTGGAAGTTTTATAGTCCAGAATTCAAGTTTTCATTATCCGATTCAGTTTGAGTTAATTACGGAATCCATGGCAAGAGTTAAGTTTCTTTCATGTGATAGATGATTACCTATTATAGCACAATTTGTGGAAAGTATCACCATGTTACTGAAAGTCAAGGGCCACATTTCAATATTCTAATTATGCCCCATTGATAATGGCCTGTTATTACTGGCACAATCATTCTCCAACTTTAATTTTCAAGTTTAAAGTATGATGGGCATTTTAGGCCTTTTGAACATTCCTGTACATAAGAACCAATTTTTCAGCTTCTATCCAATACCAGCTGAGATTTTGATTGAAATTTTAGTGATAAATCTATGAATTTTGGTGAGAATAACTGATAAACTGATAACATTGTACACTCTGAATGTATACATGCATTAATACACAGCAAATTACGTCACAGGTATATATCTTATAAACCTTTGGGTAAGTGTGCCAAGAGGCATTGACAAGAACTGTTCTAAGTTACTGCTTCTAACAGACACAGAAAATTTTCTTTGTCACTTGAGAGGATAAATTACAACATATTTGTGCATAAATAAATGGTGAAGTATTATATGGCAGTTAACAATGAATTGACTCAAAAACACAATGGTTAACATCTTAAAGCAGAATTCAATGAGTATTATTCCATCAATATGACATCAAGAAATAGGTAAATCCAATAGCTTATTGTTCCAAAGTGCAAACGAGTGTAGTAAGATTATAAAGAAGAGAAATAAAAGTTTATAAGCACAATAAAACTTTCATGCTTCCATCAGAAAGAATATCACCCCATTCATTAGGAAATGGAAAGACAGAAAAATTTTAAGTGAAGTAACATAGACCCAAAGAAACATATGTTGCATGGTTTACCTCATTTGTAGTAGTTAGAATCTGCCTATAAATCTACAAGTAAACATAAGTAAAGTTACAAGTAAACACTGTAAAAGACAAAAATTACACTTGGGCATGATAAATTAAACAGGATTCTAAATATTCACACAGTGAGACCAAAGGAGGATATTCTTAGGAGAGGATCACAAAGGCTCAGTAGCCATGCACATAGGATCATATAAAATGGTATTTATCAAAAGGAGTTCCAAGAAATGGAGACAAGTTGTTTTTTATTTTACTTTATATGTTTTTGTTGTTTTCTTTGTCTTTTTTGCTTTGGATCATCTCTTTTAGTTGCTGTTTTTGATTGCTGTACTTTTTGCCTTGTATGTAAGTTCTATTTTGGTGAGGGGAAGGGGAAACACAGAAGTGGTGGGACAAAGGATGAGGTAACTCAGCAGTGATACCAGATACTATTTTGAAAATGGACTATACAACTTGTGGGGATGGAGGGTTGGGAAGGAAAAAATTGGGGGAAAAACAAAAAGAACTGTACTCATTACCTGATTATGTAATGGTAACCCCTCTGTAGATCGCCTTTACAATAAAAAATTAACAAAAAGATTGTAAATAATATGTAGGAAACAACAAATAAAAAATAAGGTAAATAAATTAAAAGTTCAGGATAACTCACTTGTTACTGGAGAAAAAAAAGGGTAAGTTTTGAAGGGTCTCAAAGTTATATTTCTTCATTTTGATAGTGAATGCATAGATATTTATTAAAGTTCTATTTTATATGGCATAAATATAGTTTAAATTATACTTTCCTATTTAATATTCAAAAATAAATCTTTTTTGGACAGTATTGGGGTTTGAGCACAAGGCTTTGCACTTGCAAGGCAGACATTCTAGTACCTGAGCTGTGTCCCCCAGTCCCTTTGTTATTTTTCAGATAAGGATTTGTGTTTTTGCCTAGGGCCAGTATCAGATCCTGATCTTCATCCTCCTCTCTACTAGCACTCACATAGCTAGCATGACTGGTATATGCCACCGTGGTCAGCCTAATTGTTGAAATGAGGTGTCACTAACTTTTTGCCTTGAACCATGATCCTCCCAATTTTTGTCTTCTGAGTATTGGGAATTACAGGTATGACTGTACCTGGCCTATTTGTTAAAAAGATCAAACAATTTTTGAATCCCTAACACTTTGTATTGATGTCAGTCCATGATTGACATTCTGATATGTCCAGTGATCCAAAATAAGCACAAGTTAAGTGGTCTTTTATGATATATTTCTACATGTTCTATCTTTGTACCCAATCATCTAGAGACTTTGGAGATTTTGTAGGTATTTATGTAAATAACCATTCACTACTTCAGTTCCTTCTCAAGATTTCCATGGTGTTGCTGCTAGAGCCGCCTGGACTATGGTCAAACACAACTTACAATTCTTCATAATCATGGATCAAAAAGAGGTGAGCCTCTGGCCTTCCTCATTGATGAATGTGAAAGACATTAGAACAGAAGATGACAGACCTTACCACTCTGAAGGGAAGCCTCTAGTTCTCAACAATTCACCCTGCCCTCGAGCCAACCCCTCTCTTGAACAATACCGCATGTCTCCTTTCTTTGAAAAATAACACATTCCTATATCTGGGTTTTTGTTGCACAACTCAGACTATTCTCAGTTTCCAAGGAAGACAGGATACAGGACAATATGAACTCTTGAGGCAAGGGGCTATTGTCTCTTACCCAGATTTGCCAAACTTTGTGAGTCCCCCTTACCATGCCACCCATAGTTACTTAAAAACAATCAATGAAGTTACACATAAGACAAAAGTACAGGACTCAAAAACAGCAACAAAAGAGAAAAACAAAACCAAACCAAAAAGGTCACAAAATACAAAATAAAAAAGCTCTTGTTTCCATTTCTTGGACTTTATTTCGATAAACATCATTTTATATGATCATATGCAGATACTTATTGAGCCGTTGTGATCCTCTCCTGATATTATCCTTCTTTGGTCTCACTGGGTGAATATTTAGAGTCCTGGTTAATTTATCAGGTCACAGTATAATTTTTTGGTCTTTTACCATCCATTGTGTTTACTTGTAGATTTAGAGGCACAGCTTTTGTTGCTGTTTTTGAGTTATGTACTTTTTTGTCATCTTTTTAAGTTTATCTGTTTGGGGGAGAGTAAGGGGCAGCACAGAAATAGTGGGACAAAGGGTAAACTAATTCAGTGATACTCACTAGACACTATGTTGAAACTGAACTATACAACTTGGGGAGAGGTTCAGGAGAGAAAAAAATTGAAGAAAACAAGGGAAGAGGTGACACTATTCTAAAAGAAATATTACATGACCTATGTAACTCTAAACCCTCTGTATATCACTTTTACAATAAAAATCAATTTTTTAAAAAATCAATAAATTGTAAGGCTTTTGAGGGAGGTGTTATGGTATTTTCACTCGCTAAGGCATAAATCTGATACAGTATATGCATTTGTAAGGAAAGACTGGTTATTTCGGATTAGTTAAGGACAGAAAACTAAGCTACTTGTACAGATTCAAACTATACCATCTAATCCTCAAAGGCGCTTATGAGGTTTTCTGCCTTGCTGGAAAATTAGCAATATGTATGCTCTGAAGAGTCTAGACTGTCTAGATACTTGAGAAATAATTTGTAGCATATACTATCCTGAGTCAGAAGTAGGCCTCCAGACAGAATTCTACAATGATGCCTTGTTTTTTTTCCCTACTCTGAGCAGCCAAATATCAATTGTAACTGCCAAGTAGGCCTTTGCCAATTTTTGTCCTTTATGCTTATAAAATTTAAATTATGAAGATGAACAGTCTCATTGATAATAACTCCAGAGATAATAACATAACTCATCATTTACTCACGATATTAACACTGTTAAGAGGAGAGAGGCTAGTGGGTCTGGGCCACTGTTTTCAGAAGACTTCACTAAGACTCAGGTGGGAAATGAGAGCCAGCACGTCTAGGAGAGTGGCTTTGACCTGGCTTAGATTTCCAGGCTGTTTGTTTCTGTTGGTGTGGATTATGCTACTTCTTGCTTCTCAAGGGATCTTTAGTGGCCGTATGTCTCTACAACATGAGTATACTTTTAGGACTTCTGATGCTAAGAGGGAGAATATTTAAGTCCCACTCACCAGAAACAGTCACATTCTGTTTGGAATAGAAACAAAAACGAATCCGTAGTTGGGCAAAAGGTAAAAAGGAGCCATTTCCCAAGACACTTCAGTGAACAGTACCTGGTAGTAACTATGTCATACTTTATGCCCACCATTGTGTTGGCTGAACACTGGAGCCAAATGCAACCCTCTTCCTCTGTGATTGCCATTCATGGTGCCCGAATTTGAGCTTTAAGGATGCTGAAAGTTTCTCCTAAGGATTCTGATTCTAGGGTCCTCCTTTTCCCCCCATAAAATACTGATAACTTATAATCTAGAACTGGAGTTGTTTCTTTTTTGTTTTGTATATATATATATACATATATATATATATATATATATATGTACATATATATATATATATATATATAGAGAGAGAGAGAGAGAGAGAGAGAGTTACAGAGACAGAGAGAGATGGAGAGAAATGGCTAGAAAAATCTGAGTAACTCATGATGCCAGGAGCAAGGATGACCAGGTCCCATGTGATTTAAGTGACTGAGAAGAAAGCTAAGCAGAGATCATTGGTTTGGATGGCTCTTAGGAACTGTTATGAAATGCGTGCTAAAGCCATGCTATAGCTAAGGAGGATAGGACATGGAAATAGTTCGAGCAGGTCAAAAGGTCATACGTGTAGTCAAAGAAATCCAGACAGCATCAGAGTTTTTTTCTAAGCCATGTAATTATAAAATAGGACAGACTAGGTACTTTAAGCAACAGAAATATTTCAGACTGGCTGGTTTTGGCAATGAAACTTATTTCTTTCTTATTTCTGGAGATTGCAATTTCCAAGAAAGGGATGTCATCATGGTGGGGCTCTGGAAGGACCTCTTCCTAAGCTGTACATGGTGTCTGCTAGGCATCTCCTTATATGCTGGACAAAGCAAGCTTTGATCCTTTTTTACCTTTTAAGGACACTGATAGTATTACCTCATCCAAACTCATCTACCTCCCAAAGCCCCACCTCCAAATGCCATCCCAGAAAAGATGAGGACTTCAACACACAGATTTGGGGAGGGGAAAGCAAACATTCATCCCACAGGAAGCTATCTTTAGAGATTTCAGTTGCATAATTCTTATGAATTCCTTCCAACATGCTGACTGTTCACAGCGTAATATTTTAATTGAGTAAATTATAAATCCATATTGATCTGGTAAAACCCACATTGTTTGGCACTTTACCATGTAAAAAGGGCTAGTGATCAACATTTCTGATATTTCCCAAGAAGGATTCAATTTATTGCTGAAACTTCTATTAAAACTCATGGCCTGCATACTGAGACCAGCATATTGCCAGTTCTGAATCAGCTGTGTCCAATTTTATGAGATATAAATAAAAGCATTTTGAGCTTCTACTAAGGATGAAACACCAACAATATAGATGAGTTTCAGAGCTGTGAAATCATGCCATCCAACCATCTCCTTGTAGAGATGAAGAAAAGCAGTCATGGCCTGTTAAAAGGCACAAGATGAAAGCTGAACCCATCTTCAATGCTGAGACTATATAATCTAAGAAAGTCATTTATTTAAGTTCTTCGTGTTCTTGTAAATAAGTTAGCAACACTTTCTCCTGGTCCTGATTATATAATCATTAGTCAGCAGCTACTTTTTTTTCTGTTTGTTTGTCTGGGTGATAACTATGAAAGAGTATCACCAATTCTGAATCAGCTGGTCCAATTTTATGAGATTGGAATAAAGGTCTTCTGAGCTTCTCCTGGAGATGCAAACCTATCTATCATGTTTCAGTGTTGAAACCAGGTATTTCAGAAGAGAGATGGCTATTACTCATCACCTGAAAACCTTCCCCCATGCCACTGGCAGGTGAAGTTAACAATGCCCGTGACTTGTAGGTGGTTCTGTCCAACTCTGACCAAACAGAATTCTAGGAACAGACTGCCCGTGAACACAAAAGATATTCTCAGAGCAAACAGCCAAAAACAATGCTCTGGCG